CTCTCTCTCTCTTCTCTCTTCTCTCTCTCTCTCTCTCTCTCTCTCTCTCTCTCTCTCTCTCTCTCTCTCTCTCTCTCTCTCTCCCCTCCCCCTCCTCTCTCTCTCTCTCTCTCTCTCTCTCTCTCTCTCTCTCTCTCTCTCTCTCTCTCTCTCTCTCTCTTCTCTCTCTCTCTCTCTCCTCTCTCTCTCTCTTCTCTTCTCTCCCTCTCTCTCCTCTCTCTCTCTCCCCCCCTCTCTCTCTCTCTCTCTCCCCCTCTCTCTCTGCTCTCTCTCGCTCCCCCTCTCTCTCTCTCTCTCTCCCCTCTCTCCTCTTCTTCTCATCTCTCTCTTCCCCCTCCCTCCCTCTCTCTCTCTCCCTCCCCCTCTCTCTCTCTCTCCCCCCCTCTCTCTCTCTCCCCTCTCTTCCCCCTCCCTCTCTCTCCCCTCTCTCTCCTCTCTCCCCCTCTCTCTCTCCCTCTCTCTCTCTCTCCCCTCCCAACTCACCTCTCCTCTCTCTCTCTCTCTCACCCCCCTCTCCTCTCTCTCTCCTCCTTCCCCCTCTCTCTCTCCTCCCCCCTCCCTCTCTCTCTCCCTCCGCCTCTCTCTCTCTCCTCTCTCCCCGCTCTCTCTTTCTTCCACTCTCTCTCTCTTTCCCCCACCTCTCTCTCTCCCCTTTGATTTCGAGGCTGAATCTTAAGTAATTAATCGAAGCTCTGCAACTATTTCTCATTTACTGGCTCACGTGAATTTTCTTTTAAGTCTTGAAAATACGTGTTTTTCGCTCATTTTTATTTTCTTGTTTTTTTTGTTATGTTTATTTTTTCGGCTTTATGTCAGTCTTTTCCTCTCTCTCTCTCTCTCTCTTTCCTTACTCCCTCCTTCCTCCTCTCCCTCTACCCCTTCTCTTTTCCTTTTCTTTCTTCTTCTCCTTCTCATTTTCTCCCTCTCCCTCTTCTTATACATAGTTATATTTTGATTATTCTTACTTTTTCCTTTTATTTTTAGTTTTTTTTTCTTTCCTCTTCTTCTCTTTTCTATCCTTCTTCGTCTTATTATTCTGCTTCTACGTTTCCCTCTCCCTCTCCTTTCCCCTCCTATCCCCTTCCACTGTATGTACCTCTTCCTTTCCTCTCCTTTTTCTTTCTTCTTTCTTCTCTTCTTCTTCTCTTCTCTTTTCTTCTCTTACTTTTTTTCTTTTTCTTCTTCTTCTTCTCTTTCTTCTTTTTCCTCATCCTCCTCTTCTTCTTCTTCATTTCAGTCTCCTTTTCCCTCCCTATCCCTTTCCCTCTCCCTCCCTCAAACCCTCACGCACCAAGTCGTCACACGGTTAAACAAAAACAAACAAACAAACAAAAGAAAACAAACAAACATACTCACCTTTGTTCCAAGTCCATCAGATCAATCCCCAACTTGCTAATTTTATTCCCTGAAAAAGAGAAGAAAAAAATAACTTAAAACACAAGAATAAATGATCATTGTTTTGACTCCACCATAGCGGTTCAGGGAATGGGTAATTGAGGTCTATTAAAACTAACTGGCAACTGCGAGAGGTATGTTATTCACTTTGGGATTTGGGTTTGGTATCTAATTTGGGATTTGGGTGTGGTATTCAGCTTGGGATTTGGGTGTGGTATCAGTTTGGGATTTGGGTGTGGTTATTCAGCTTGGGATTTGGGATTTGGTATCCTAATTTGGGATTTGGGTGTGGTATTTTTGGGATTTGGGATTTGGTGCGGTATTCAGTTTGGGTTTGGTGTGGTATCAATTTGGGATTTGGGTGTGGTATCAATTTGGGATTTGGTGTGGTATCAATTTGGGATTTGGGTGTGGGTATCAATTTGGGATTTGGGTGTGGTATCAATTTGGGATTTGGGATCGGTATCAATTGGGGATTTGGGATTTTGGGATTTGGGTGTGGTATTCAGTTTGGGATTTGGGTGTGGTATCAATTTGGGATTTGGATATGGTCTTCAACTTGGTACTTGGATATGATATTTAGATATAACATTGAATGTGTTACATTGATATGATATGATGTTCAGATGTGACACTTGGTTATGCAGCTTAGATGTGAAACTTGGGTATGACATATAGATATAACAGTGGATATAACACTGAGATGGCACTTATATACGGTACTTGGAGTGAATATTCGTATGACATTTGGATATGACACTTGGGTATGACAGCTGGATATGACACGGGTATGACAGGACAGGACATTTGGATATGACAGCAGGATATGACAAACGGATCTGGGACTTAGATATGACACTTAGAGTTAGCACTTGGCTCTGGCATGACTACAAGATATTTAAGATTACTTACAAGAATTTTTGAGTCTCATTTTACTATATTCTCCGCCACTGCGTAATTTAAGCGAGGCGTATGCAAATGAGGCAATTAAGCTTGTAATTAGACTAATTAGCTGATCAACAATCTATGTTCTTTTAAGACTTTCATAGAAAAAAGGCTTCTCCAAGAACGCTTTTTAGCGAGGGTGTGAACAACGAGATGCGCG